CCCACTGCCCTGCTCTGCCTCTCCATCGCCCCGCAGCCTCCAGCGACCTTCGCCCAGCTCCTAAATGGACCCCGTTTGGTGATGTCCACATGGGACAAGCTGCGGTGGCAACGCGGGCTCAGGAGGACGCCCCAAGAGCGGCGGGGAGGTCCCAACCCGCGGTGGCCCGCTCCCAGCATCACCATCCCCACCAGCAGCGCTGTCCCCAGCGCGTCTCAGCCCATTAAACACTGGGTGCAGCAAGGAGGGTGAAGGTACCTTATCTTTATGATAAATAAATAATAATAAAAAAAAAAGCTATTTCTTGTTAAAACGCCTCCGAAGGACATGGGAGCGCGGGCTGGGAAGGAGAGCCAGGGTAAGCCGACACACGGCGGTGCGGGCGAGAGGAAGGGGAGGACACCAACCCCGCGCGAGAGAGGGGGATTTACTGTGACTCAAGGCCACGTCACACACCCCAAAGAGGCTGTGATGAAAGTCTCTCATTGCTTAAATCGGAGGGGTAATTAGATGATCCAGTTTCCCTCTAGCAAGGCTGTTAAAATCCACTGTCTAGTTTGGGTAATTATCGCTTCTCCCTTTGATCTCCCCTATATTCTTTTTGCATAGATAAAAAAGTTTGGGGGTTAATTTGTCCTCAGCCAAACGAGGCAGAAGAAGGACCCGCAGCCGACGGACGGAGCCGGGCTGCCGAGAGCCGGAGGAAGGGGTGCGGAGCGGCGTGCCGGCGGGATGAAGGCGGGCTCTCATCTTCCTCTTCGCCTCTCCTGCATTAACACATTTTATTTTTTTTTATCCCTTCTTTTTGCAAAACCCTCAAAGTCCCCTGGGTGTCAGCGGGGGGAGTGTGCCGGATGCCGGCGGGACCACCGCCTCCCACACCCCTCGGCACGGGGACGGTGGAGCCGTGGGACCTCCGACGGGCGAGAAGAGGCTCCGGCACAGCCACGGGGGTCCGGAGCCGGACCGGGGCGATGCAACACCTCCTTCAAAGAGCTGTTTGGGGTGCACCTGCCCGAAAGCAGCCACAGCGGGAACCCAAGTCCCACCGAGGGCATCGACTCCCTCCATCTCCCTCCAACGGGGATTTTTGGGGGGCGGCAACGCCGGCTTGCACATCAACCACATGCCGGACGCCACAGCCTTCACCGGGCAGATTTTTTTTCCCTCCCCCCACCGTGTTATAACCCGGGATGGTTTATCTAGTGCCAGGTTGTGTCTGAGATCTCCCTGCGCCCCGGCGTTATCACGCCGTGTATTTGCATTGGGACGATGGCAATTCCCTTCGGCGCAGGCTGCGGCGCGAGAACTCGTTTGTCCGGTACCTTCCTTCGCCCCAACCCGTTGGGCTCGTCACGCCTGCGAGGAGGAGGAGGAGGAAGAGAAGGAGGAGAAGGCGGCAGTGAGTGTCCCAACAGAGGAGGTGCCATCGCCGGCATCCAAGGAAAGAGCCGGCGTCGCACCGAGGCCAAACAAAGCCCCGTCTGTGGCGCTGCCACCCATCGGGGCCGAGGCTGCGCCGCGGGGGGGAGGAGAACCAGCG